TTTAAACGAGACTTTTTATGGATATCTTTAAGAAATGGCTTTCTTCTTGCCACTCTTCCATAAAGGCCAGATTTGTGCAGTATACGACTGATTGTTGAGTCTCCCACCTCAGCTGTAGATCTCTGCAGTTCATCCAGAGTGATCATGGGCCTCTTGGCTGCATCTCTGATCAGTCTTCTCCTTGTAAGAGCTGAAAGTTTAGAGGGACGGCCGGGTCTTCGTAGATTTGCAGTGGTCTGATACTCCTTTCATTTCAATATTATCGCTTGCACAGTGCTCCTTGGGATGTTTAAAGCTTGGGAAATCTTTTTGTATCCAAATCCGGCTTTAAACTTCTCCACAACAGTATCTCGGACCTGCCTGGTGTGTTTCTTGTTCTTCATGATGCTCTCTGCACTTTAAACGGACCTCTGAGACTATCACAGAGTCTGCATTTATACGGAGACTTGATTTCACACAGGTGGATTCTATTTATCATCATTAGTCATTTAGGTCAACATTGGATCATTCAGAGATCCTCACTGAACTTCTGGAGAGAGTTTGCTGCACTGAAAGTAAAGGGGCAGAATAATTTTGCACGCCCAATTTTTCAGTTTTTTATTTGTTAAAAAAGTTTGAAATATCCAATAAATTTCGTTCCACTTCATGATTGTGTCCCACTTGTTGTTGGTTCTTCACAAAAAATTACAGTTTTATATCTTTATGTTTGAAGCCTGCAATGTGGCAAAAGGTCGAAAAGTTCAAGGGGGCCGAATACTTTCGCAAGGCACTGTATGTCAAAGGTCGCACACCTCTGGAGCAACTAGGGGTTAAGTATCTTGCTCAATGACACATTGGTGTCTCACAGTGGATTCGAACCTGAGTCTCTCACACCAAAGGCATGTGTCTTATCCACTGATACATCACCACCCCCTATGCATCCAATGACTTGTGAAATGCTGCTGACTAGTTTTTACTCTTGAGGCTGTTACAGGGCAAACTTGTGGGTATTAATCTTTATTAATATAAACAAAATTCAGGTGACAATAATAGAATATAATGCAGTAAAGCTCTCAGGCATTCTGTGTTGCTTTTAGATATGTATACCTTTACAAGGTTCCAAGATGGGTTATTTGTCATTATACAACACAAGGTTGCTGTAGTCCCTTCATGCTACACACACAGAACTTAACAGATTAATATATTAATATTTGAATACACATACAATGTGTATAAAAATATTTTCTCATGTAATATCATCTTTGCTGAGTCAACAAACATGTATGATTTAGATTTGGTCTTCCCTTCTGTCTTTGCCTTTGTTTGGGGAAGTAACTTCTTAAAATATGACTGTGGCACCTTTTCTCACCTCAATGATAAATTAATTAATTTTAATTCTGTCAGAAACTCCTGGACTTTAATAGCTCCTGTGCTTCAGCAGTTTTTCTGCCCATGTTGAAACGTTCTGCACATACAGAATCTCTCCCACATAGACTATCTGTGTTCTCTGACATGTTGAGAAAAAAGTCGGAATATTATACTGTAAGAATAACATCATCATTTAATGAGAATTCATAATATTTTTAAACAGTCTACCTGCTCTGCTGTGCATAAGCCTGATTTGCTGATTTGGCCCCTTCAGACCGTCTGCAGACACAGAACCGTTTGGGACTGTACTACTGCTGGATGAGAGGAGGAAATCAGCAGCACCTCAGATAAATTGCAGTTCACAGTCCCAAACAGAGGAAATCTGCGCCTCAGATTTTAGATGTTGATTTAGCATGAGACGCTGGTGTCACATCAGCTGGGTGGAGTTGACTCGCCCCGACTATTATCAGTTATACATTTGTTTTTCACTTTGGGAGAAAATTGATGTGTAGCGTGAGAGCATGTGAAAATTGTCAATTGCGTGAGTCTAATGCTCAGTGCCTGAGAGTTGGCAGCTCTGATGTTATTACTTAAAGGTTAAGCAAGCTAAAGCTTTTCTAGTCTGTCCTGATGTTAACTGTTAGCTCCTCACCTTCGCCTGTCATACATAGGCTACATGGTGCTTCTTAACACTTTTTCCCCCCAGAAATTTGGCCTTCCTATTGCCTCCCTATGATTTTATTTTTCTCTGTGTGTTTTGGCTTCTCTTTTTTTGAGCCCCTGACAGGCTGCAGTGTTCTCTTGAAGCGACTCGCTTTACGTTTGCAGGTCCTGCACATCTGAATGGCCAAATGTTTTGACCGTACCATTTTCACAATAACAGCGAGAGGGTGGGTTATCAGATGACAAGTATGAAAAATATTGTAATGATAATAATACATTTATTTATCATCTAAATAAATCTCAAAAGTTTTTTTATTCATTACATCACCAAGGACAAGAAAGACAATGACAAAGAGTTGAGCTATGACGGACTAAATAGTGAAAAATAGTTAAGAAACAAAAAAGTTAAGTTTAAAAGGAGCTGAACATGGGAGGAGGAGGAGGACTCCTGGTTCACCTCCTGGGTTCCAGGAACTCCCTTGGTCTGCTTCCAATGATTGCCCCCGAGCCTCCCACCCCCAACCTCTTTACCTCTGCAAATACCCCTTCAAGCCACCCCCCCCCCCCCTCCGACCCCAAATTTTCTGGCAACTCCTTTAATCGCCCCCATCACCCGTTCTTCCTCTCAACCACTCACCCCTCCTTTCACCCTCTGGCATCCCGTCCAATATGCTGCCCTCTCAGCAAACACCCCCCCCCCCCAACTGCTGTAAATGCCCCCAGGACTGTGGTTCTTTCAGTTATTCACCTCTCTTCCAAACCCGCACCCCCTCTCCGATTTAAAGCTCGCAAACTCTCTCTCTCTCTCTCCCCTCTTCTCTGTCTCTCTCTCACCCTGTCCCCGGGAAGTAAAATATTCACAGCTGCTGCGGTCAGGTCGCACGGCCACAAGACTCTCTGAACAAACAGAGGAGCTGTGAACGTGTGAAGCTGATGGTGTACGTTTCATTTGAGGTCCGACACAGGTCCGATAGATCCTGATGTAGTCAAAACAGAAACCGCATACTGAGCCTCGCCACATGCCTCAACAAACCAAACACTAACCAAACATACCCAAGCACAACACTAAAAAAGTGACATTGCCAAACAGTTTTTAGAAACATGTTAGGCGCACTTTAGAAATGGGAGAAACGATGCATGGCCTGGTGCCGCCGAGCAGACTTAAGTCCAATGTCATTGGGTTGATAATCAGTGTGGAACATCTGTCTTGGATAAATGCCCTGCTTTTAAAGTCTGGCCTCGTTATGCATTATGGGTAAAGGCAAGAGCACATTAAGTCATGTTAAAGTTGCAATAAAAATACATCAAGCTATTCCAACACGCCTATACATCATACAGATATATATATATATATATGAGATTTCTAATAATGACTTAAATGGGAAGTTTTACATATGTAGATCTCTGAAGTTGCATCACCAAATAATAAAGACATCTTGGCATAGGAATGCCAGCCCTTGAACTTTACGAGGGAGAGAAGGGGGGGGGGGGGGGGGGATCAGTGTCTTGAACACATTTCAAAGTAATTGTACTTGATATGTCGTTTACAGAACACCCAAGTAATCATATAAACAAAGGACTAGATGCCCTGGGAGGATGAAAGGAAATTTGAATCTCGCTCTGATGCATCATACTTATCACATTTTGACATGAGTGTTAGGCACTGAGGATTCCTGATCTAGGACCTTTCTGTAATAAACACAGCGGGATGGACAGACTCTCGTGGATTCCATCATACTCCAAATTAACTAACACACAGTCATACACACACACACAGAAACAGATGGCAGAGAGTTGAAAGTGCAATGAACAAATTACAACTGCTGCAGCCCTGGGCAGCGGACGAGTGTGTGTGTGTGTGTGTGTGTGTGTGTGTGTGTGTGTTTGTGTGATAACCTTGCTCTAGGTCTGATCCCGCTAATTGCTGGAATCAATCTGAACTTTACAAAGACATGACAAAAGTTTGAAAAAACAATGGGGAGAAAAAATTTTAAAAAAAGGTGAATTATGCACAAAATTGCAGGACCCAGAGAGCAACGACACAAGAGAGGGAGTTTAAGAGAAAGAGAGGGAAAGCAAGAGAAGAATAAAGAAAACATGACATCATAGTTAATGAGAATCAGGTGATAAACAAGGGAGTGATATTTACGTTATACCATATGCTGCGCTCCATGTGTCTTTCTGTCTCGGGGGGCACAGCAACAGGTTTCAGACAAGTAAGGTCAAGGAGGAGGCTTTCCCCAGCTGCTAGACCACACTGATGCACCCACCTCATTACCCAGCCGCCCAAGTGTGTGTGTGTATGTGTTAGTGTGTGCGTGCATGTCGGCCATTTCTAAAGCCTGTTTTGTCTTTGTTGTTATCACGTAAAAGACAGTGTTTATCCTCCAGGAAGCCCTGTTTGCCATGTGTACTTGTGCGTTTTTTGCAGTGAGAAATGAAAACCCCTGAACTCATCAACCAGGTTGTCTGCTGGGCTTCTTTCAAAAGTCTAATCTCTTACAGATTCCTGATTCACCTCTTGGTTTTGTAAAAGTTTCTCAGCTGACTTAGTCACGGTTTGTTATAGATACTGATTACTTGGATAAACCTGATTGTGATGCTTTTGAGTTGCCAAAATGTTTGCGTCTTTGATAATGAGGGGTCATTCTTGACCTTTTGAAATAGTAGTTTGAGAAATTAATCTTAAGTCATGGTCCACTTAGCTCTGAAGCTTTCAACCTCACTCTATTCGTCATTGAAAGGCGTTTGCTCCATCCAGACAAACATTTGTCAGTGAAGACCATGAGATGTAGTTGAAAGCTTCAGAAAAAGATAGTTAGTGGTTTGGTTATTGTCGATTAATCTGTTGATTATTTTATCAATGAATCAATTAATTGTTTTGAGGGCACAATGCAAGAAAATGGTCAAAAATGTCAATTAGTGTTTCCCAAATCACAAGATGACTCAAATGTATGAAGATATTCACTTCATTAGAAACCCAGAAAATATTCACATTTAAGAAGCTGGATTTAGTACATAAAAAAATGACAAATGATTTATAGATTATCGAAAAACTGATTGTTGCATCTCTACCAAATACTTGGGATGATTTGGGAAAAAGCATCGTAATTCTTATCTCATGGTCATGATCAGAAGTTAACTCCATGCAACCACTACTACATTACAGCATCGTCACATTATCTTTCATCTTTTATCTTTTAATTCGCAGCACTTTGCATGATAAAAGAATACAGTGAATCAATTACCTAGGTCAACTGATTTACATAGATATTTATTTCTATCTCTTTGCTGTGTATTTACAGTATGAACAACTGATAATTGAACTGTGAAAATATCTAAAATGATTCAAAGTCAGTCAAACAACTTAAAGACAAATATATTTTTTATATTTATTCAGGTTTAAATGATTAGTATTCAAAAGAGAAGCATAAATGGTGAAAAAAGACAAGAATTTGTCCTTTTTGCGTTTTTGTTCTTTTTTGTTAAATATTACACAAAATAAATAAATTTTAAAGAAAGAAAACATGATAGTGTTAGACTTGCTGTTGTGTTCTTGACTAACTCTTTCTCATACTTTTCTTTTTCGGATTTTCTTGTCTTCTCCTTTTCTATCAATACTTTCTGTTCTCTTTCTTTTCCCTCCCTTACACATGTTGTCTCCTGTCATTTTATTTCCTCCCAGTCAAGCGCTTCACATGATCTAGAAATGTGAGTTTCTGGTCGCATTTTGGCACAGAAGTCATTTCTTTTCATATTTTCTACTGTGCCAGATGTACTTGATAATTTAAAACAGAAAATAATATATCCATTGTATATCAATATATCTTATTTCTTTCTTTAAAAATAGAAATGTCTTTGTCAAACAGAGATAAAATGTCCATAGGTTTCCATTCTTTTCCTACTCAGTGCATCATTCAGATCTGATTCAGATCTGTCCAATGTAGCCATCGCCATAACTCCATAAAAGTCCCAATAGCCTGCAGTCTGCAGAGCTCTCTCATGGCTGATATATCCAATCATCGTGGTGGTACCACAATGGGCAGGAAGTGACAGGCTGTGTTTTTCCTCCGTGTCTTCTTCCCCTTCATTGGCTTGCCGTTGGCGTTCAGTCCCACAAACATGTGCTTCTTCTTGTTGCGCCACTCAGCTGAAGCGTAGGTGTTGTACTTGTTCTCCTCGATGCGTTCAATCAGACGACAGTCTGGACCAAAGTCCCTCTGAAGGGGAGAGACAAGCAGTGCAAAGGTCAGATATGCAAACATTAATCAATGTAGAGTGCCAAAGATTACAGATTACATTCAGGCAGTGAATGTAATTTCCACTCTGTCTGAGAAAGGCACCACCTTGACAGTGATTTTAAACTTCCCATTTTGCCACAATGTGGTACTGGCTGTATAAATGAGACACAGGATGTGTGGTTGCAGATGAGGCAAGGCATTCAAGTTTATTTATATAGCACCTTCCAAACACGACAGCGATTCAAAGTGCTTTACAGATGCAAACATACAAATACAGATACAAAGGTACTTCATAGTATAAAAGTAGATTGTTAACAGGCAATGAATTCTTCAACTGTAGAATATATACTGCATTCATATGGTACATTTCAAGTAATCCTATTTATACTATTCTTGCATTTTAACACACTAATAGATCTAATTTTTAAGTATTATGGTTTATTTTTCACTGTTGATATATATTGGAGTATACACCTTTTTTCTATTTTTTTGAAACATATTTCTCATTTTCAGTTTTTCTTTTTCTCATAATTTCTCTATGTTTATATATATATTTCTACTCTAGAGTAGGAGCAAATTTAACGGTACCCAATTTCCCCTTGGGGATCAATAAAGTGCTTCTGATTGAGATTTTTTAGACCTTAAACTATTGATTAATAAATTAGTGGATTGGCAGAAAATGAATCTCCCAACATTCTCTAATTCCACCTTCTGGATTTCTGGATTTGCTGTGTTTCTTCATCTTGTATGTAAGTAAAATGAATATCTTTGGTTGAACAAAACAAGCAACCTGATGGCACCGCTTTGAGTTTTAGGATGTTGTGATGGTAATTTTTAAATATACTTTCTGACAATCGATTAATCAAGAAAGAAATTGTCAGATTAATGACTAATTCAAAATAATCGTTGGTTGCGGCCCTAATGCTTGAAATGCATTGAAAGCTCATGGTGTAAAAATAGGTACATTTTCAGAACTTGGCTGATGCTGCATTTAATCTTCACATTATCCACTTCTTATTCTTCTCATCCTCATACAGTATGATCCATAAAATTATTCATTATTAAGAGCTTTTAGTTGAAAATTGTTGTCCGATCTTATGCTTTGACTGTTGTATTTCTTGCTTTTTGTTGATGTTTCCATGCTGATTAATGTTAAAGCTGTTCTTTTGGGCCTTGTCTGAGCACAGCAACAACACTTTGACATTTTACTTCTTGTGACAACATGGATCAACAAATGGTCAGCCATTGCTTAAGCATCTGCTGCACAATCCCCAGCGTAATCACGGCCAATTGTAAAAACTGGACACGAAATTCAAATTGTTGCAGACATTGTTGGGGGGGGGGGGGGGGTTGAGGGGATGGGTACAGCAAGGTCAGTGTGTGATGTGACTTCTAAAAGGTTTAGGCTCCCTGCCAGCAAACAGCGTTGTGACACCATGTTTGTGGCTTGCGTTACTGCGGTGACCACCCACTGGTAAATAAAGAGAAAATGATCTGAAAGAGTAACATTTGTGAGTTTACTGGAAGCTGCCCTTGTGCTTAAGGCTAATGTCGCTTAAACAGCCAGTTAACTGAATGCGGTTGATATTCACAAGCAAAAATGTACTTGCCCCGAACACACACACACACACACACACACACACACACACACACACACACACACACACACACACACACACAATAAAACTGTGTCTAAAAAGTCTCTCTCTCTCGCTCTCTCTCTCTCTGTATCTGGCCACAGCTGTTCAAATTGGTTCCAGAAGTAAAACTGAATGTTCCCAAAGCAAAATGAGAATATTTTACAGACACTGTGCAGCTTTTTAATGAACGTTGTTGCTCTGTACAACCAAACAGTGTGTGTGTGTGTGTGTGTGTGCTGGCCGCCTTTCAATTAAAATGATTAGAAGTGGATAAAAAAAAGAAAGAAAAGAAACTGTATTCGTAACTGACATCAAACGAGGGTAATGAATCATAAGAATAATAATGTCAGTACCATTTTACTCGACATCTTACTGCGACTTACCGGCTAGATCAGAAGTAAAGCTCTACTTTTAATAGAGAAATAACTGTTGAACATGATTAATTTTTCCTGGCCACACAGGGAATTTATCATCCATCCTTTATTGTTTGATTTCTTTGATAATTCTTTACAAATTGAATCATGGTAAAACCTAAAGATAATCATAATCCTTTGTGTCTCTTACGTGTATTAATCTGGCAATGTAACGAAACAATGATTTCATTTGATTACCACTGGATAAAGAAGTCACTGTGTAAAAGTGTAATCGATCGCCAGCATTACACCGCTGTGCTACTATTGCTTGTGTTGCGCTGAGCAGAAGACGTCATGGGAATTCAGTTTCAGGCCATGCAACAGAATGCCTCTCTGTCTTTTCTACCGTGTGTCATTTCATCTGTGGTGTGGCTCCAGAGAGACACGCTGAAAGTTGGGTCTTTCAAAGTAAGAAAAAGAGAAAAATGGAGGGAGAGGGAGAAAACAGATGAAACAAGAGCTGTCCCACCACCACCCCTCCAGAGGGACTGAAGCAGAATAGAGAAACTGAAGGATTATGTTTCCTGTTTCTGAATGGAGTGGAGAGGAGAGGTAGGTAGCGGAGAGGAGAGCTCACTATGACTAGCTGTGGGTCCTTTTTTTCTGTAATAGAGAGTCTTGCAGCCTTGTCCATTGTCTTAAAGAGCATTCAAGAAAGTTCAAAGTTGCAGAGTCACCAGTTAAGGGAGAAGTTTCTCTTTTGCAAGGATTGATTCTCTACAGTTGACATATTTTACACCGCATCACCAGTAAAATTGAACAATCATGACACTTCACAAGTGTTAAGAAACTGAACACCTTGAAGTAGAGGAGATTCTGGGTTAGGAAGTAATTGATATTCTAAAGGGGCAGATCAATGAGGAGCGGTACTGAAACTGCTACTCACCGCTCCGTATAGCTCTCCCTTCCTGCTGATTGCCAGGTAGTAGTTACTGCTGAGTCCCCTGATGGCCACCACTCCCACATCCACCGACTTGATCTCCAAAATACCTGGTGCAGCGGGGACAGAGAGACAGACATGTCAAAACGGTGTGTGGATTGGATCCTCAGATATTGTTGCATTCATGTGAAGGACATAAATACATATGAAGTACAAATTTCCAGCGCCCAAGGTGGCGTCTTCAAATAGCTTGTTTTGTTTGACCATCAGTACAAAACCCAAAGACAAGTGATCCTCACTTTTGAGAAGCTGCAACAAATGTTGACATTTTTCCTTTATAAAAGACTTTATTATTGTCCTGTCCATCAATCAATGAACCGACCGATCCCTTCAACACGCAATGGCTTTTACCGTGCCATGCAAGTGTGAGCATTGTTACCAAGGAAAATATGAAGAATCATTTGAGAGATTATGGGATCTGGAACACTAAAAAAAATAGATATTTGACTGAATTAGCATTAGTTTTCAAATACTGCAGGAGAAACCTGAATCATCTGAGTTTCTTCTGCACAAATGAACCCCAGTCCGGTCTCCCCCTTCTCTCTTTTTTCTTTTTTTTTTTTTTGTGTGACAGGCAGACCTCAGACCGGCCTATAGCCCCCTGTTCATTTGCTGCTTAGCTCGTGGGCTGCATGCCCTGGGACCAAGGTGTAAGCCAGGAAAAAACATTTCTCCGCTCAATGTTTGTTTTTCTGACCAGGGGAGCTCAGGCAGGCGGGTACACGGACAGGACGGTGGAGAGGCTCCGTGGCTGCCAGACTGGCAAGAGGTCAAGGCGTCCGTATCAGTTTTCAAGCATTCAACCAATTACTGGTTTAAGCTGTGGTCACCGGCCCTTTCTTCTCTCATCCTAAAGTCAGTTACACCAAGCCATAAAACTATCAGGGGTTTGAGAGGATTAGCTAAAGGGGCCAATAGGAAGTGGAGCCTGGTTGCAGGAATACTTAAAGGATGAAGTGAGAAACAGGGACTAGTATCTATTATTGATTTAAAGAGTCAGTAATAGATTCCTGTTCCAGCAAAGTGTTATGGACAATCTTACATTTCTGATGAATATCAGATTTGCTGAATATAGTAGTAGGGTTGTCATGAAAGACCAGAGAGGAAAAAAATCTAGAATATTTAATTACTGTTTTCATGTATAGTTTCTTTCAAGACGAGGCACATATTTTCACATTTTTGCCAACTTTGGCAGGGAGGTGAAAAAAGGCATCCTGGAACAAACAGCAGGTAACAATAGATACAGTATAAGAGGGAGGGTTAAAGATCTAGCGGATGACTCACTTTGTTCTTTAAGCTTCAAACCTAATATATCTGTCTTAAACCTGTCTTTACCAGATGCCACTTTACTGCCCCCCCACTCCTCCTCTCCTTCTCATCCTCAGACAGAAATTTGCAACATCTTGTAGCCGTGGTGTGATTTTGTGTTGGTCAGAGAGATGACAGGATGAGGCTAGGAGGCTTGTTGTAGCTATAGATAGGCATGAAACTGCTGCATTTACATCTTTCGCTACTGTTATTTCTCACTGCTTTGCAATCAGAAATGTATAAAAAGGGCCTAAAAATTAACTTGATGTTTTGAAGTCACAAACAAAGTTCCCTTTTATGTGTTCTGCATTGCTTTTTGTTAAACGTAGTCCTTGCTTAAGAGTTCTGGCATTAATTCATCCCCGCGGTTCCCTTATTTGGTCAATAAAGGCTTGTTAAAACTCTAAGAAGATTTCCGTAGCTCAGAGTGCATCATGTTGACTTTATGTTATGTTAAGTCAATTACTCACGCAGACTTGTACCACAACGCAGCACTGATCTATCAGGTTCAAAATGTTCCATCTCACTGCACCACAGCTGACATTTCTTAGCTGTGATCTGTCAGAAAAAAGATCTGTCTGTGCCGCGCTAAAGGCTGGTCCACCTGTTCAAACCCTTTTCCCTCCTCCCGTTTGATGTGGTTTGTCAAAAACCAAAGCACAGGGCTCTTTTATGGCCCCTTTACCAGTTACCAGAAGCAGCCTGTCTGCCTGCGAGTTAAAAGGCCAGGCTGCAACAAAAGGCTTAGATTGCAACAACAGAGTTTATGGCAAGGAGACGGAGAAAAACAGGACCCGAGCTTTTAACACAGACCCGTACATCAGGTTTTTGTGATAAACACACGTGCAAACAAATGATTCAAACTCTGGCATGAGACCTACTTTGCTCTTAAACCTTTAGTTTTTCATTTAATAATTTTCCTCATTCAGCGTCTTGTCTTATTGGTGCCTTGAGTCTGTTAATATATTTTTCTCCTTTTTTTGGAAAAGGTGAAAACAGTTTTTCTCCTTCCTTGTGCTCCCTGGATCTCAGCCCAGTATCTTAATTATGAATTTATGTTTTTAAGGGGAAACATTTTTATGATCCAATGCTGAAAGCACAAAAAGCACAGGGTAATAATAATAACATAAAAGTCATGGACATTTTCTGCTATCAACAATTTTTTAAGCAGCTACCAAGGGCAAACACCTGTGTGTAACAGGGCAACACTACAACTTTCATAAAAACGAGCCAAAAGGGTCATTGCCAGTCAAATCCAAACCATAACACTAACGGAGCAACAAGTACAAATAAACACAACCTGGCCTTCGAACAGTAAGAAACTGTTCATTAACCACTTCATAAAGACCACTACGTTTCATGGCTTTTGTAGCCAAAACTTAACTCCAATAGGACCCTGTCGAATCCATAAACGTGAATGGAGTGGAAAGTGTAAGCAGACTGCATATATACAACAGCAGATTTTATGGATTCAAGCCATGTTTTTATCTATGGCTTTCATTGGTCGTAGGAGGGTTATAAGTTGGTGATGTTCTTCATGTTAAATTCAGTTATTAGATGGTTTTTATCACTTTGTTTTCTGGTTCTCTCCAACTTTCTCACAATAATTCCTCAATCGTCTCTCGTGTCACTTTCTTGCTTAATCACCTATATTCCCTCATTTTCTGTTTTCCTGCTCATTTGTCCTCACCATCATTCTCTTTAAATGTCTCCATTTTTGTGTACTTTAACATAAGTTTTCCCCAGTTTTTGAACACTTCAGCTTTGCTCCCTCTTCCCATTAAACTCCAGCGTTTATATCTCACTGAGCAGACATTAGGCACAAGTCCTTATTACGATTTCTGAAGCTGTAGAATCACAACACACAATGGCAGACTGTAACAGAGGGCTTGCTAGCAAAGAAAGTCTAGATTTGAATAAAGCACTGTTGGAGTAGCCTGCAGTTATTCGGTTATGGTTTGACATGAAACTCACTTCACTTCTTTGGGAGATCTTTCGTTTTTTAAAGTATGTCCTTGGGTATTTTCTGCCTGTAGCTAATAGAGGAGAGATGACAGGAAATGAGGGAAAAGAGAGCGGGGGGGTTGCAATCCAGGTCTCGGTCCAGACTCATACCCCGTCCCACCAGGGCACACCACTTTGGAAAGTCTTTCTATAAAGAAAAGATGGTCAGCATCATTGCAAAAGGTTTCAGAAGAGAGTTATTCTCGAGCGCTCAAGCAATATCCTACATTATTTAATGATTTAGGTTACTTTATGATTATATGATACTGTTAGAAGATCTGCAAGTTTGAAATTGTTGCTGAAAAGTAGTACATTACATTTTGATGTGTGTTTGCCCTCACATAACAGAAAATAAAGTCACTGGATAAGTAGCCAAAAGAATTATTAGTAATAGAAAGGCTTGGGAAAATATAGCAAATGTTTCTGTATCACCTGGAGTTGTACCTCATTAAAAGTGTAACCGTTGCTTGCAAGTTAACATGAATCACATTCGTCATCACTTTTCAGACACCTTTACTTTAGCCAGACACATACGTAACAGCATGCTCACAGGTCCACACACAATCACAAACAGCAACACATACAGACAGGAACACGCGTACGCAGACCTCCCGTCGACTCGGTCATTGAGACTCCATCTGAACCTAAAGGTTAAGGGAGGCTATGAAAATGCTTCCACTGCTTATCCAGGTTTTTTTTTTCATACTGATTATACAGCGGTTGTTCACAATTTGACCTCGACACGGTGACCAGCTGTGAGTGGGTCTACTGCGTGCCTTCAGCCCGAAGAGGTCTCGCTCTGTATTGTGAAATATTGTCACTTGCGGACTAGCTTGTGTCATGAACTCCCCTCAGTGAGAAGAATGTAAATGCTTTGGATCTTTTATTCTGGGTCCAATACTCCGAGATTTGGATGAACCCCTGTGTTTTTCTGCAGCGATTAATTCTCTTGCTCTTTTTAGATGTGAAATATAAATATATAAAAATAAATTTTCATGACCCAAAACTGGCCCTATATTTTTTTTATTTTATTTTACTTACTATCTGATTTGCATCAGTTGAGGTCTAAACACTAAGATCATTTTTCTCTTTGACTATGGCAACAGTGACTGACGATGTCTCGTATTCATTGTGACACAAGTGTTTACATCCATGCAACCGCCAAAGAAAAGAAAATTCATGCCAGTAGAAAAGCTAAAAGATACAAAGGAAGAATAGAGGAATTCTGAAAGAAAAAGATGGACCACTAAAATACCACTTAAATCAGATATCAATTGACAATATGAAACTACTTGGCTGTATTTGGCCATATACATATAAAAACAAGAGCAAAATGCATGCAAACAAGTCTACTTGGCCGCTGCTGTGGTTCAGCAAAGTTTGGTTGAATATTTCCGGCTCTTTATAAAGTCTGAGAAAGAACAAACACCCCTTGGTTGTGCAGTTTGCTTGGCGAGTGCTGGTGGAGATATTGGATTGGAGTGAAAACTGCTGTATATTATGTGTTGAGGTATTGGTTTAGACTGATGTGGTTGACAACAGTATCATCCTGTGCTAAGTGGCCACATCAAACGCTGCCTGGCCGACGATTTTGACCAAAGCTGAGAAAACAGAGGCCTGTTTCAGATTTTCAATATGGGAGATGTTTTTTCACAAATAGAATTAAAGGTAAACTGATTTTTCTAAATTTATTTTGCTGGTATTAAATTTCTGGGTAATAAATCATATTAAACAGATA